CCTCAAATCCGGTACAGCAGGATATGGTGTTGAATATGGAAAGCAGTCAGAAAAAATTCTTTTTGCAGACATTAGGTAAAACAGTGGCATCTCTATCCACCAGCAGAGATAAAATACACTACTTCATTTGATGCTATGAAAATTGTCCAAAGCAACAACAATTGGATCTGGTCTTATTTGAACCTAACAACAAAGGAAGTTTCTTAAAAGGATTCCTTTCCACTGTTGGAGAAAGAAGAATATTTTGTATTATAAGAGAAAAATCAATTATTTTTCAATCAGATGGAATGTCCTCAAAAATCAAGGAGAGAACTGCATATATATACTCCTACAAAAAGAGTGATGCTGAGGGAAGGAGTTTTTTAAATTTTAAGATTAATGCCAGGAAGAGATTGAAATTTTAACTGATTTATTAATCATTTTATTGATCATAAAATATTATATACAATATTATGGAATTCAGGGGTTTAGTTTTGCCTCTATATAAAAGTCACCACATCCACCACCATTCCACTACTAAAATACCCTTTTATCCATTCCTCTACCCTCTTCCCCTTCCTTTTAGTCACCATGGTAGTTTCCTCCAAATCTAGGAGTTAGTTTTACTGTTCTTGATAGTCTGCTTGTTGTATTCATATTCCACGTATGAGTGAAACCATCTGGTAATCATTTTTTACTTTCTTATTTCATTCAACGTAATAACCTCAAGGTTTATCCATTTTGTGTCAAAGGGCACAATTTTATCTTTTTTAAAGACAAAGTAGTACTCCATTGAGAACATATACCATAGCATCTCTATCTCTTCAAAGACCAATGTCCACTCATAATAAATCGGTATTTTGACTAGAGTGAATAATATTGTGAACAAAAATGTGCAAATATCTTTTCCAATTAGAGTTTTTGTGCCCTTTGGATAAATGCCTAGGAGTGGTATAATTGGGTAATATTGATTTTTCTATCCATTTTTCTACTACTATTACTACAACTACTACAACATATATTATTGTACTTATTACTATACCACACCTGGATGTACTTTGTATTTTGCTGGCTCTGTGCTCAGAAGACCATATGTAGTTCTGTGTATAAGACAGAATTGGCTGCAAATAAGGCAGGCACCTTAACCCTTGTACTATCTCTTCAGCCCCGTTTTTATGTTTTCAAGCAATCTCGTTGCTTTTTAAAATAGATACTATACAAATTTACATTCCCACCAGCAGTAGGCCAGTAGAAGATGTACAGGCTTTGTTTTTCTCCACATCCTCACCAAAATTTGTGTTTCCAATTATTTTGATATAGGTCATTCTCACCAATGTGAGGTGATTTCTATGTTTGTGTTTCTCTGATATTTTTCTTTTGCTTTTAAGGATACACCAGCAGTGCTTAGAAGTTCCTCCCGGCTAGGTTCTCAGAGGTGATTCCTTGAAGAGCTCAGGGAACTACTTCGGTGCATGGTCTTGAACCTGGAACTCTGTGTGCAATCTCCAACCTATTGACCTATCTCTCTGGCCCTTCACTATAGTTCTGATACATGTTTCTCTAACGAGTTGTTAAGGCTGCTGTCATGTGTCTGTGAACCACTTTAATATAAGTACCTATTCAAGTCCTCAGGCAGTTTTTCAAATTGAAGTAATATTTGTCTATAGCATTATGTACATTCCAAGCATACATTATTAATTATCATTTTTAGGTAACGTACAACAAAATTTTTGATATTTATATTTTAAAAATATTGTAGATTAGGTAACATGATTATAATAAAGCTACCTTTATGGTTTTGATATCTATACATATATATATATTTTGCTTTTTGGGTCACACCCAGTGATGCACAGGGGTTACTCCTGGCTCATGAACTCAGGAATCACTCCTGGAGGTGTGCTCAGGGGACCATATGGATGCTGGGAAATGAACTGGGTCAGCGGCATGCAAGGCAAATGCCCTATCCGCTGTGCCATGGCTCAAGCCCCAGTTTTGATATATATATTGCAACTCACCAAAATGCATAAGCTCCTCTACCAATGTCACTTTTAGTTTGCCTTTTCCTCTGTCCTACCATCCCTGCTCTGCTTATTTTATTAGATTGATCACTTTCTTTCTTCTGTATTTGGGATGGGGGGGGTGGTAGTAAACACCAAGCAGTGCTCAGGGGTTACTCCTGGGTCTGAGCTCAAGTAGCACTACTGGTGATGCTTGGGGTGTCAGGGGTCACACATGAATCTGCTGCATGCTGCCTTGCCCATTGCACTATCTCTCTGGCCCAACTGTACACGCTGGGTATCAGACCAACACAGACACTAGCTTCATGGACCAGCACTAGGTTCACTCTCAGAAATGCGGCCTAGAAGACCCTTTGTTTCTTTTTTCTGCCAGCAACTAATATACCAGTGTCCTAGCAGGCTGAAGACCAGATCTGAACCCCTTTTTTGGTGTGCCTTCAGACCCTGAGAGAGAAAACTCACTGAGTGTGAGGAATGAATGCCCTACTTGGCAGACAACAGTTCACTGATTAGCAGGTTAGCCCTGTTGAGTGAGACAAATTGCCAATCTCTTCTGGCATGGGGTGATTCTTGTCATTTCTAGAGGAATCCTCTGAATGATCCTAAAGAGAAGTGTCAATGTCTGCCTATAACCCTAACTGACCTGGCACTTCATGCTAAGAACAGCGGGCTCTGAAGTTGCTGGGGCCACTCCACCATCCTGACACCACCCTAATTAAAGTGTCCCATCAGCTGGCTAGGGACAGGGAAGAAAGGAAATTATGACAGTGTCTATCCAAGGAAGGCACAAGGCCACAATTCAAGTATTTCCAACTTTCTAGGAACAAATTGACTTCAAAATATCAAGTGCACCTACAAAGATACCCTCAACACTATAAGCTATATAGTGTAACTGATGAGGTGATTATCTTCAATTTCATTTATGCTGAGATCTATTTCCACCCACCCCACTCCCCAAAGGATAGACTATACTTTGTTCTATGCCAATAAAACCCTAGAAAAATGCTCACTGATAAACATCATGCTTCATCACTACTTTAATGCAACATACAGCATTCACTGGACCTCGCCAGCCAAAATTAACTTCCCAAGCAACGGACACACCTACTGAGACACTTGCAATTCTGAAGGAGTCTGGTTCCCAGCTGTGTGTCAAGAGCCAACTCATGACATCAGGCCTTGAGCTGCTTCTGGAGAAACTTAGGGTAGGGCTATCATGACAAACTGGGCTTGCCAAACAGATTTCCCAAGAACAGTCTCAGCTTTTCAGAACATGACCAAACTCCAAATAATGGAAACCAAGGTTTGCTATGGCTCTGATAATGAAGCTCCACCCTCTCCCCCATATCAATCATGACCTTGAGTCAAAAAACCTGCCCAATTTCCAGTAATTGCCAAAGCTCACATCTCATAAATTAAAGTGAAGGCTGGGGAGCAAGTGTCCAGACCAAAGCTTCTCCTCTACTTGCCTCAGCTGACTGAAAACCTCACTAAATTCAGTGTTTCCTTTTTCTTGCTCTCTTCGGAAAGGGAAAAGCAACCTCCCCATGAGACGGTACCTAAGACTCTTATGAAAAGGCTAATGAATGGCTACGGCAAAAATAACCTCTATAAAGGGGTTCTTAGCAAAAGGATTTCCATAGGCCAAATGGGTTTCCTAAAGGCCAGGAGTTCCAGAATGCTTTTAAAGATAATGGTCTTAAATACCAATCCATCCCAAATTATTGTTTAGCACCTTCAAACCCACAAAGTGGTAAGTTACCTTTCTCCCAGAAAAGTATAAAATCCTTCAGTCGTTCTCAGAATCAACCCTTCTGCTCCTCCCCTGAGTTCCTATCTGACATTTCCCAGTGCTGTAGTAGTTCTCAACCAGGGGTGTTTTGTTATTTCTTCCCACCACCCTGCCATTGGGGATATGGGACGATGTGTAGAGACATTTTTGGTTGAGAGAGGTTGAGAGTTAATGTTTAACACTATTAAACATCCTCCAGCCTCTCACTACAAAGAATTACCTGCTCTCACTCGGTCAGTAGTGGGAAATTCTGCTCCAGCTCTATAAAATCCTCTGCGGTTCCTGAAATATGTCCAGCTTTCTTACATGCTTCTGAGCCTATGTAGAGGCTGTCTTCTGTAACGTGGAATGGCCATGCCCTACTTCCGTCCAAGAAATTATTTGTCATCCAAGATCAAATTCATATTACCACCAACTCTGTCCTATCTTCTGCTGATCCCCCAAGCTTTCCATCCCTTGTTTGATGCTGCTGGAGTTTCTGATACATACCACGTTAAAACACTGGTCATGCTGTCTCCAAATTATGTCACCTACTAAAGGTCAGACCCTAAACCTCTATCATTGCTTATTCTGAGAGTGCCCATCCGATTCAACCCACACTCCCTAAACCAACCAGGGAATAAATGGACATGTTGTGGGTGTATCTAGGACTCTTACAACAGTGTCAAAGTGACAAAAGTGTCCCCAACCACAGTAATAAATATTCATGAAATGCTCACAACATGGACAGGCATAATATTAAGCATCAGTGGACTTATTAGCTCGTTGTTCCTTACAACAACTCATGAGGTGGGTACCATTATTATCAGCATTTTATATATGGAAAAACTGAGATACACAGAAGTGAAATCACTTGTCTAAGGTCATCAAAGTTAGCACACGGAAGGGCTGATATTTAGATTAAGCTGGTCTGATTCCAAAGTGTCAACCTTCCAAAACCCAGGTCCAGGCAGCAGTACTGATGTGAAACAACCAATGTTTCAAATGTTCAAAGATCCAACAAGCACAAGAAATACCTTCTACAACTATACAAACATCCAGAGGTCACCAGCACCTGGGGCTGTAAACATTGCTTGCTGGGTTCACGCAACTCTTCAGCTTCTAGAAGGAGAAGCAACCTCCTCACACCTTACAGAAAACATTATATATTCGAGAAAAACCATGGTACCACCCAAGTACTACCAGGGCTGACTTAAGGTATCTCTTACTTTGTTCATGCTGCATGGAGTGGAGCAAGGGATCAGACATGTCACAATGCAATGCAGCTTGAAGAGTCTCCTCGTTCCCGTTGATGTCACTTCCAGAAGCAGACAGCTGCACTGAGGACACAAATAAAGAGAAATTTCGTCAGCTGGAAGGCACAGAACAGTCCTATGCCCAATGTGACTTTCTACTAGGATCGCAAAGGTGCATGTTTAAGACATCCAATATGGTAACCACTAACCAGAGGTGTCTACTGGGTATCTGAAATGTGGCTAGTGCAACCAAGGGTAGGTTTTTTTTTTGTTTTATGAGCCTAATAAAACTTTATTAGCTAATTAAACTTACATGTAAATAGCCACATATGAATAATGGCTACCCTGCTGGACAGCACAGTCAAAACAAAAGTCTTGAGGGCCTAGACAATGGGCATGCCAGTGGACAAGGGAAAGCTGGATATTCACAGGGATAGGAAAACTCATTCAATCATAAACTCCTTCTGAACACTTACGAGTTGCTCGGTCCTGAGAATATAATGATCAATAAACCAGAAAGCTCAGCTACTTAAAAGTTAAAGTTCAGACTTTGGCCTCTTTAGGAAGGGAGCGGGTCTAGCATGTGAGTAGGACCTACTATATGCCAGACCTCAAAGCCTAGCCCTGATGTCTAAGAAATAAACAGGCAGGGCTCTGCTGGCCTAAGCACAGCATGGCCATGGCTTGAGAAAGAGAACTCGGCAGAGTCCTGCACCAAGTGGTATATGACAGAGAATTCAGGAAGTCAGTTTTCCACAGGCCAAATGTACCAGATGATCTAGCTCCACCTCTGATGGAATATATATTCATAATATTATCCATAATATTGGTTCCTTAGTAACGTGTAAAATTTGCTTGCTTGAACTATAAAATAAAATAGTTACAATACCATTGCTGAACTTTGTCAAATATTAAGAAAAATAGATAGTATCTTTGACTACTTAACTAGATCGGGAGGCTTTTATTTTGTTTCTTTGTTTTAGGGACCACACCCAGAAGTGCTCCAGCTTACTCCTACCTGACTCTGTGTTCTGGGATCATTTCTGGCTGGATCAGGGGACTATATGGGATATATGGATTGCTGGGGATCGAACCTGCGTCAGCAGCACACAAGCCAAGCGCCCTACCCATTGTCCTGCTATAGTATCACTCTGGCCCCAGCTTTTCCTTTTATTTTTATACATTTTTTAAATTGAATCACAGTGAGACACACAGTTACAAAGTTGATCATGATTTGGTTTCAGTCCTATACAATGTTTCAACACCCACCTCTTCCCCAGTGTTCAGTTCCCACCACCAAAGTCCCTGGTTTCCCTCCTGCTTTCCCCCACTTTCTGCCTGCCTCGATGCCAGGTACTTTCCCTCCCTCCCTTCCTCTCTCCCTCTCCATATTATGGTTTGCAATACAGACACTTAGAGGTTATCCTGTTTGTTCCTTTACCTATTTTCAGCACACAGTTCTTGTCCAGAGTGATCACTTCTGACTATTACTGTCATAGTGGTCCCTTCTCTATCCTAACCGCCCTTCGCCCCACACATACTTGTGGCAAGCTTCCAGCCACTGACCAGTCCTTTTGGCCCCCGTTTTTCCTAGTCTTGGACATCAGTCTCATACTATTTTTTTTTATATCCCACAAATGAGTGCAGTCATTCTACACAATGGAATATTACACAGCTGTTAGGGAAATTGAAGTCAAGAAATTTGCTTACAAATGGATGGACATGGAGAGTAGTATGCTCAGTGAAATGAGTCAGAAGGAGAGGGAAGATACAGCGTTTCCTTTTTAAAATGTGTTTGTAGATGAACTGGAAAAGGGGGGAAATTATTGTCAGGTTCCTTAAAATCACGTTATTTAAATTTTTCAGGCAGTATCAAAGGAGAATATATACATCTGAATTTTTTGAAAAGGCTAGAATTTTGGTGTGGCTGGAGCGATAGCACAGCGAGGAGGGCGTTTGCATGCAGCTGACCCGGGCTTGATTCCCAGCATCCCATATGGTCCCCTGAGCACTGCCAGGAGTAATTCCTAAGTGCAGGAGCCAGGAGTAACTCCTGTGCGTCACTGGGTGTGAACCCCCCCCAAAAAAGCAAAAAAATAAATAAATAAAAGACAAGACTAGAATTGGAGATAAAGTTGAATTGTTTCATTATTAAATGCATTATTATTATTTTAAAACTACAATATAGGGGATTGGAGCAATAGCACAACGGGTAGGGCATTTGCCTTACACGCAGTCGACCTGGGTTTGATTCCCAGCATCCCATATGGTCCCCTGAGCACTGCCAGAAGTGATTCCTGAGTGCATGAGCCAGGAGTAACCCCTGTGCATTGTCGGGTATGACCCCCCCCCAAAAAAAACCCCCCAAAAAACCACAACTACAATATAAGGACATTATAAAAAAATGTTTAAGAGGAAAAGGGGAAAACACAAAAAAGTACTAGCCCCACTGTCTGCTATAATACCTTTATGTCTTAGGATCAGTCTTTGACTATTGAGAATGACATGAGGCCATGGTACAACTGTGGAGTTGATGATACAGGGAAGTTGGGGGCTTCACATTCCCTTTATTAACATCTTTGTGATGAAAATAATTTTGAAACTTATGCTTTGAAACTTATGCTTTAAAAGAGATAAACTCCTCCATACACATTGCTATTCTGTGAGAATAATATTAAATTCCTTTTACAAGTCAGAAGATAGGGAGAGGAAATTACAGATCACTCCCTGGCTATTTGAGACATAGATTCCAAAGAAAACACCACATTCAGTCATAGCAATAACATATTTTAACAATGATGTACAACATAAAGAGACCCTAGAATTCCAATTCTGCAGCCTAAATAGATCCAAACATTCCCATGTGTACATGATGTCTGGGTAATCATCACTTCAAAGTTGAGAGTGTTTGAATATCTAATTATAATCAAACTTACAGTGACCCTCCGAAAATGTTGTATATAACTTTTACTTCTTGAACTTGCAGAGGCAGATACTTGTGACTTTCTGAGGTCTAAAGGAGAACTCTAGATGTTGTGTCCTTTTGAATTCTCACTACTTAAAAACTAGGATCAAGCACTTTACTGAGAAGCTTGTCCAGATGTCTTGCAGAGACGCTGAAAGTCACTATTCCATTCAAATGTACACACTGGTATCAACACAGGAAAGGTGGCCACAGAAGATAATAACAAACAGACAAGGATCCATGAACACAATTTCCCCAAGGAACTCCACCCAGCTCCAATCAGAGCACAGCCCCCCTTCTCCTAGAACTTGGGGGTACAGTTTGCAACAACTTAATCCAGACTCTGTGCCCCCATTCCCACGTATTTTCCTGACATCTTCATCTACAAGAAAATCAGACTAAAAACTTCTCATGGGAAATAAATACAATCACATAGAAGGTTCTTAATATTATGATTTTTTCCTTTGTTCTCACAGAGCCAAAGATGACATAGCCCTTTTATCATTGCAAATTACCCTAACGTTTTTTTAATGAAAGAAAAATCTTTGAACGTTGAGTATTTTAAATCTTTTGTAAAATACGATTGAGATTATCATATGGCTGCACAGTGCTCAGAACTGTAGACGGCACTTTCATATTAACACTCTCATTTAGTAAGAAAATCAATCATCTAAGGGGTTGTTTTCCAAATTAGAAAAGCAGATGCAGAGAGAAAAAAGAATTATTCTTAGCCACGCTATAACAGGTGGTAGGCCCTGGACTAGAAGTCACTTCCTTTTAAGATCTTACAGAATTAAAATCTGTACAAAACCACAAATAGAAAACATTAAAGTCCCCCCCACCCCCAATCGGTCTATCTCCCTCTCCATTGCGCCTTCCAGAATACCTTCTCCACCACCACCACCCTTAACAGAGAACACCTCGGCCAACAGATGACTGTTTTAGAAACTGGGTCAGTTCACTTTGGATAATACCAAAAGACTGGCCTTGTTTTATCAAGGACTTTCAATCTTCTTTCAAAGAGAAGGATTCTGGGTATCCTGAAGCAATGGTGTATCAAGAAGCTCAGAGAAATCCAGTTGTGTTTTGTTTGGGTTTGTTTTAAAAGTGAGACTGCATCCTAAATAAAAAAAGCATCAGCAGAAACAATACTGTAGTGCAAGTCAGGAAGGTTCCTTTTTAATTCTAGTTTGAATGGTTCCTTTTCATTGTTCAAGAAATTGATCTGACCCCAAAATACAAATCCCTTCCATAGGTGTCTTGAAAAAGTCAATCCCATAAAATCCAGCTTCTAACTCTCCCTCAGCGGACCCTAAAAATATCTGTCTGATGAGTATCTACGCCTGTGGGGTCTATTTGAGGCACCTAAAGGGTTAAATGAAACACAATTCATATTTTCAGGCAGGTAAGTGGGAAGGTGAAAAGGAGGTACGCATCACAAAGAAGAAACATGAATGAAAAGAAAAGGTGAAAGTGCCATTGAAGGAGAAAAACAAATGTGTAGGTGTGAAGACAGACACCTAGGGAGAGGCTCAGTGATGTCACCCAGAGCGGCTCACCAGCCAGATCCTCACTGCAAAAGGGAGAGAGAGATCCAGCTTCTTGTGACAGAGACATTCTTGGGCTCCTCAAGGATCCAACACTCTTGTGACCCAGGTGGCAGCAAGTGGGAGTTGGAGTGTCATTCAGACCTGGCCTACCTTTTTGACCACTATTTATTTACCATCAGCCTCCACCCACCCCAGAGAAGAGTTCATTTCACCTGGATCACTTTAATGTGGAATAGAGATATAGGCCAATTTGAATTTATTATCCTTACTCTAATGAGAAGCTTAAATGCAAGAAAGGACTAGTGGTTTATAAGTGTGCCTGTTCTGGGTCCTTGGAGATGCAACTAATACTTATTGCCAATACAGAATGGAATTTGATGAGTTGGGCTTCTCAGGGCACTCCACTCTCCTCATGCCTTATAAGTGGGTCACTCTAGAAGCTTCCTGAAATATATCTCAGAGTTGGCAGGGCTCAACTCAAGCACTGCTATAGCACAGAGGCCAACAGGAGCCAGCAGGTACCTCTTCCGCTGTTCAAGAACTTTCTGGATCTTAGATATTACA